CAAAGCACGTGTTCGATCGTCGAGCGCACTTTAGTCCAGTTCCTCTCATTGCATGGGTGGTTTCAACATGCCAGATGCGGCCAGAACGCCGCCAATGGCGAGAGCTTGGCACGAGGCGTACGCTTTCTGCCCTAGGTGTGCAATGAGGGAACGTGAGAAGATTGGGCCTGCAAAGCGTCCGATACCATTGGAGATGATACCGTTGATCAGCATGACATTGTTCGCATCAAGGAGCGAGCCGTCCGGAAAGACACTAGTGTTCAAGATGCCCATATTCAAGGCACCGGCCAAATAGATCGACGGGAAAATGACGGAGTCAGCGGCAAGAATTCCCAAGGGCTGCTTCGCAGTACCTGGCAGAGGGCACAGCTCTCCCCCCCTGCAACACAGCATAACTGACCCGGACAAATTGCCGCTGCACCTAGCAAGGTAGTCGCAAGCATGGCGATGCCGGTGTAGATCCTTATCCAGGCGATGTCGCTGTAGCGCGCCTGATGTAACTCTTTCTCAAGAGAACGGTTCCGGAGTACCCTTCAGGTAAGTAGGCTGCTTGATCTGCCAAACACAGAGACAGAGAGAGAGAGAGCGAGAGGGAGAGAGGGAGGGGACCATGATATTGAAGCCCCAGGCCTGATATTGTTTGTGTAGCATGTAGCCCGGCACCACCAAGCAGAAAGTCAGGCCGATGCAGAATCCAATGCTGTCTTGGCGCCATGCAAAGTGGTCCTGGAGAAGCAAACATGACGCGGCCTCCACACCGGAGGTGATGAAGCCACGCAACGCATCCATGAAGATGCCTGCACCCAGCCGCTACAGCGGAATACAAGCGCACATGAAGGCTAAGCAGTCGAGCGGGCCAAAAACTGGTTGCAGGCAAAGTCGCTCGCCAGCAACACCGCAGTCTGGTGCCCTCCAGCAGCAGAGTTGGTCTTGCCGCAGTCTGCGACATCCTCAAAAACACGAAATGCCAGAAAGAGCAGAGGCAAGAGAGCTGCTCAGCCAAACATCAGTCCTCCAAACTTGGGTACAGCAGAATGGCTCCCACCAGCACGGTGATGGTCATCGTCAGCTGCCACTGTCCCGTCAACACACTAATCTGTGCTCCTCTGGTCAGCCCTTCATCATTTACCTCATCGTGGAAGAAGAAGTAAGCTAAAGCAATGATAATGGGCCCGCAGCCAATACCAAGCGTGTTGGCCACGAATTTCTTGAGGGAATGCCGTGGCCGATCATGCGCAGGGGCCAACTTGACGATGCAGCACTTCATGAACTGGTCATTCAGCCCGTGACCGAAACCCTGGAGGAGTCTGGCTGCCAGCAACGTGAAGATCAATGTGCTATGAGTGCGGCCGCTCCTCACCTCCAAGGCTACCTTGCAGAGTGCCAACGCACCGAGAAACTGGCACGAGAGTCCTGTCACCAAGTATGTCTTGATGTGCCTGCGCCACAGTTCAGGATACACATTCAAGATCTTCCAACTCACGCCCATGCCAACAGCACTTGCTTCCATGAAGACGCCAATGATGAGGCCGGACATCGCTGCAGCATTCGATAGGTTGAGTGCCAGACACAGCGGGTATGCACAAAGCACCCTCAGCTTGTTTATGCTTCAGTCAGTCCACTGGCTTGCTGTGCATCAAACCGAACTGCAGCCAAGAAGCACAGAGCTGTAGTTCATAAAGCCTTGGAAGCAAACCATCAAATTCACCTCGGCGCAACAAGGAGGACATGTGTTCTCTGCAGCTGGTACAGAGCTTGTATGGTACCACGGCAGAAACGTTCACCACACTGTTCGTAGCTGCTGGTTAACACAGGCAGAACCGCGAAAGATAGCCACTAAAGGATGCCAGCCGTAAACTCAGAAGCTGACATGAAGAGCTGACTCGGAAGGAGTCATCATGCTGTTCCAGACCGGCGACAGTTTTGAGATTGCAAGAAGGGCCAACGCCATGGCAAGAGCTATCAGCGCCGCCATCATGGGCTGCAACTGCAAATGCCCTGGACGTTTGCTTGGGTCCAGAAGCGACTTGAACTTCTCTAAGTGAGGCTGGAAGAGCTCCTTGGCTAAGGGATCCTCTGCCTCGCTTGGCAGCCACGGCTTGCGCTCGCCGTTAAAGTGAAGGATCTTGGCTTGATGGGCCAAGAATTCGTGGTCAATCGTGAGCTGGTGATGGACCTCCACGTCCCACTCCCTCTCTACAACGATAAAGTCCCGCGTTTCTGGCGGCCGCCAAACCTCAAAGCTAAGCATCAACATTGTCTGATCAAAGCCGCGGAAGAGCTTCCCGTGCAAAACAAAGTTGATATGCAGCCAGTGCTTGATCTTGTCCATGTATCCTAAGCTCGCCCAACGGCGGGTGCTCAACACAAGGACTCCAGCGTTGTACTCAGTGGCGCTGAACGCCTTAAGCAAAGCCTTCCGGGAGATGCCAAGCTTAGCAAGATCCTGGTCGGTCACCTTGTCCGCATAGACATAGTCACCCAAAGCCACCCGCGGGACCCTGTCCTCAGTAGCAATTTAAGATAGGCTGATGTCCCTCGATCCACTTTGGACTGATGCAAGCTGAAATCATCAGGAGGGTACCGGGAACCTGAGAGATGGGAAGCTGTTCCTGTTCTGTAGCAGGCTTGTTGTTTTCTTGCTGCTTGCCAAATTGCAAACTTAACCGAGTGAAACCGCTGTGGAGTTGCACTGAACAGCTTGGCAATGATCCCAGCTCCCTTTCATTTTCCATTTTCTTGCCCATTTGATTCTCCATGATAGGGTACCCTGTGATTCTCATGATACATAGTAGAATATCCCTAAACCCAAATTGGTACTTTCCATGTTCTTTTCGATTCTCGTCAGCCTTCTCTGACCTGGCCATGAAGGTCAGTTTACCCCACCCAAAAGTCTTCAGATCTTCCACAAACTGCAAGGCGAGGTCCAAAATTCGGAAGAATAGGATTTGGGGCTTGGGGTTTAGGTTTGTGTGTGTCTAGGGTTCCGGGCTAAGGATTTAGGTAGCCCTAAGCGATGTAGACCTGTCCTTCGAGCATCCCCACAGGCTTACATCGGTTTATGTAAGGGTTCTATGGGATCATTTTGTAGGAAGAGCCCATACTCGGCTCGGAAATCCCAATGCCACCTGGTGCCTATGGACTGGTTTGCGGTTGATTCTCTGCCCTTTCAGGGTTTGAGGCCTTCATCTCCTGACATCCTGGACAGATTGAGATCTGTGGAATCGAGGCTATGCACAAAACGAAGCAGCCTCAAATTGAGTAAGTGACATGCTGAGGACTGGACCACAAACGCCATAGTTTTGCCACTTGCTGCCAGACGGTCTGCCAGAATCAGAACATCGTCTTGCACGACCACATCGGTGTCAAGATAGACCACAATTGCATCAGGCAGCAGGGTGTCTATGAAGAAGCGGGCATACTTCTCCACTGACTTGTCAAGCGAAGCTCTCTCATGATAATAGTTGGTCTGCTGTTGGAAAACTTTGTTCATTTTCACCTCATCAAGGGGGTGTAGCTGGATGACTGCTCCAGGGGCTGTCATCACCGACAGGGCGTTTCCCGTCATGCCGAAGCGAGCCTGAAAGGCTGGGATGAAGGTGGCCTTCACCGCAACATCCACAATTAGCCGCTGCGGCTGGGAGCATGATACCAGTAGCGAGTGTATGGAGCCACAGAGTCCATCTATTGATGGCTCGTCTGCAGCGTAGAAAGCGTGAACTGTGGAGGCACTGGGTACCGGCTCAGCGCCCAGGTTGTCCCGAATTGCCCCACAGCTCAGCAGAACCAACAACAAGGACAGCAAGGAGAGCCTGTGCGTGGGCACTGCAAAGATGGATTTGGCGGAAAACATCATCTCACTACCGAGGCATCCTGGCTCTCATTTGGGGCCAGGACCCGCTAGAGATGTGTGCTTGAGGTAGCAACTTCTGCAGGGAGCAAAGGCTACATCTGCAGGAGCTGACAAGGAGCTGACAGTAGCTAGACACATGTCCTGCGCACTGCAAAAGCGTGATCCTGACAGGTAAGGTCTCAACCAGCAGAGACAGCTGCAAGAGCCACAAGGACCTGAGCATAAGTTTCCAGACTGTAGATGCTACGACCTCTTTTGCACGTATGTATACATAAGTATGTACACCAGCTGACAAGATCTGTTTCACAGTATAGGCCCCCCAGGAAAGCTCTTCGCGCTATGGACAACTTTGGCCAGCTTCGGAGCTAATAGCCTAGGTCTTTGTCGACCAGGTTCAGGAAAGGCTTCCCTTCCAAATATCTTTGCAAGACCTGCTCAAACACGCGGACTGCATTGTCGTGCGTGTTGGCTGTGTCATCTGCTGAATGCGGTGTTAGGAAGACATTCTCGAGTCCGTAGAACTCGCTATCTGCTGGGAGTGGCTCTTTCCGGAAAACATCCATAACAGCCCCAGCAATTTGCCCATTCTTCAGCGATGCCAACAAGTCCACTTCGTTGTTGGTCGGTCCCCGCCCAAAGTTTAAGTAGACGGCAGTAGGCTTCATGAGGCCGAAGAGACGTGCATCGAAGAAGTCTTGTGTCGCTGGGGTAAGTGGTAGCAGATTCAGCACGTAGTCAGCAGCAGGGAGCAAGGAATCGAGTTGACCAATTGCATGAACGTCTTGGGCATACTGTCTGCTCAGCTCAGGAGTAGACTCTGGACGAGCCTTCACTCCCACTACCTTCATACCTAAGCCATGCAGCTTCTTTGCGCAGGCTGTGCCGATATCACCATAGCCTACTATCAAGATGGTCTGCTCCGCTAAGTCATCCACAAAGGTAGGTGCCCAAAGCCTTGCTCTCTGCGAGGTCTGAAAATGGATGGCTTTCTTTGCGAAGAAGAGCACCGCAAAGACCACAAACTGTGCAAGATGCTCGCTGTAGGCAGACTTGACGTTGGTGAGGGGGATTTGCGATGCTTTGACGACCGGATCTCGCAGGTAGGCGTCAACCCCAGCGGTAAAACAGTGAACCCACTTCAACTGTTGCGAGGCCAGCTGGTCCTTCAGAACATTCACTCCGTCTTTGGAGTTGTACAGACAAAGCCCGTCATAAGCATGCTTATTCTGGAGTACTCCATAGGCATCTCCGCTCTGCAAAGCATCGAGCTGAAACTTGTGCTGAGACTGGAGGCGGCGCAGGGCTTTTTCAAAGAATTTGGATGGCGCATTACCTGCTCCCAAGAACAGGAATCGGCTTTGTGCCATGGCGAATCTGCATCAATCAGCCTAATGATGTTTAGCTTCGGCTTTAGACAAATGGCTTTTTTTGCACACAGCTCGTTCTTCTTGAAGCATTGGATGGTCCAAGCCTTGTGTACTTGGGAATGGCCAAAGAGAGCCATATGACACTTAGCTCATACCCCTGGAAGACTGCATAACACCACAACCACCTTACTGGGTTTGGGGACTTTGGTTTAGGGATTTCAGGTTTGGGTGCTTCTTGTTTGGGGTTTCCGGTCTCTGTCAGATTGGTCGGACCCCAGGCTGACCAAAGCTCTCACCTCATACTTGGTAGTTTCCCAAAATTAGGGGGTCCCCAGAATAAGGATCATAATATTTGGGGGTCTATATCGGGGTCCCCCTAGTCTGGGAAACTACCACTTGATGACCGAACTTCCGAAGACTTGAACATTCAGGTTTGCACTGAGGAAAAGGCTGATGCGACCGCTGATTCTGTCCTTCGGCATGCCACCATGTGGAGGCATCAGAAGCTGAATTCAAACATGTCAGACAGGAGATGCAAAATCAAAACCGGCACATTGTGAAAGGTTTTTCCTTGCGGGCCTTGGCAATCTCTGGCGAATTCGGCGATAATCAAAGAGGCCCCAGTCCCATGACAGAGCAAAAATATTGCGTTCCTAGACACGGTCTGGCGGGATACGCTGCTGCGCAAGAAATGAAGGCGGGATCAAATGATTCCAAACTCCTTCTTTAAAGCTTCAGCGCAATCTTCTCGGGGGCTACATGGAACTGGCGTCTTTACCAGGCACGAACCTAAGTCTTGCAGAAGCACAAGGAATTCAACAGCACAAGGCTATGGATGCCAACATTGGGAAACGCAAATTACACTTGACGACCAACCACTTGATATGCGCCCATGGCATGAAGGAGTTGAACCTCAACGCTGTCCTTTCATGCTCATGGTACTCGTGATTTTCACAACAGAACCACCAAATCAAGATCTGTCTGTTGCACAACAAGGTTAGTGGAAGGCTTACGCCCGGCATCGATCAGCCTGCATAAAGCACTATACCGATAACGATGAAAAGCCGCCTAGGCTGGAGATCAGAACGTTAATCACAATACCAACACGCCAACACTAGAAGCAATAGAATGCGTAGTAGTTGAGTGATATCAAAGCAGTGACAAGGTACACGACATGGCTAGCGACCTCAGGCTCTGAGGCATATGCCAGGGTATCTACACATGGGGTTGCCGAACAAAGTTATGGGCGGCCACGGTAGCAGCAAAGCAACCGCCTTCGAATCACTTCGACGCTGCATCAAGTGCGGCTGAATCTATGCAATGAGCGCAGCAAACCAGCAAGGTTTAGGGAGCTGACTTGCCCTGACTGTATCATCTCCTGCACATATAGCTACCGGCTTGAAGGTTCAACCAGAACTCGGGGGTTGGCGTGACTGTGCTCTTCATGTCAGGGCATTCATGTAGAAAACGCTTACAAGGCAATGAGATTCAAACTTGGGGTTCCAATCCTAACCAGGGTACCAAACACTTGGGAAATGTGTGTCCCCAATTCTTTAGCATTTCGGGTTCCAATCGATCCTAACTGGTCCTAACCCCAAACCTGAAGCTTCAGTTGCGCATGCTCTTTCCTCCATGGCAGCTTCTCTGTCGCGACAGCATGTCTCTCCGGAGATCGACTAGACATCTCATCTAAAAAGCTAACGGCTAAGCTTTCAAATGAAGGTATAGTCCCCCTTAAGTAGATAGAATATGGCTTTGGGGATATTATAATATACCCCATATTCTATCTACTTAAGGGGGACTATATCTCAAATCCCTAGTTGCAACCTCCTGCGCGACTGAGCTGTGCATGGCTATGCTAACGCAGTCTGTCAGTGTCAGGGCGACACCTTGGTCAAAGGCCCAGAACAAACCACAAACGACCAGCCATCTCCGTATGCAGAAGCATATGCCATTAAGATAGACTATATCCCAACAGCATTAAATGAGCCTTATTATACACGCTGCAAGTCTGAACCTATGTCATTAGAAGTGCGTCTGCATCCACAGCCCACGTGGATGTAGAAGTGCATACATATCTGAAATTTGGTGTCCATTCACTGAATTTCTCAGAACGCTGATCTTCGGGAATGCAAGGATATCATACCGGGATATACTAAGCGCCTAGACTCTAAAGCCATTATGAGCTGACTGAGGATTTCCCAAAATTATGGCTACATTTTGGGGGTGGGAGGGTCCCCATGAAAAGGACTATAGCATTTTGGGTTCTATAGTAGGCCCACCTATGTTGGAATACTATCACTATAGATAGCACAAACCCTAAACCCTAAACCTAAACCCTAAGACCTAAACCCTAAACCCTAAACTCTAAACCCACTACAGCATGGGCATCCCCCAAATCCAAACACGAAAGGGACCGAGAGCCGAGCTGCAGGGCATCATCTCCCTCTGCCCTGGACAAGCTGTGGGCTCTCAATAAGAGTTTAGGGTTTAGGGGGTAAGGGGTTTAGGGGGTTAGGGGTTTAAGGTTTAGGGTTTCGGGCATTAGGGTTTAGGGTTGTTTTTTCTCGGACCTTTTTCTCCATGGAATGGTTTAGGGGTTTCGGGGTTGCGAGATTTTGGGGTTTCGGGTTCGGGGTTGAGACATGGAGGTTTCCCCAAGTAGCTGGCTTGAGAGAGAGGCCCTAGAGTTATATTTGAGCTATAGTCTAAACTCCTAGTATCCCCCTCAATACCCCCTATAATAGTCCCCTATATAATCCCCTATATATCCCCCCTTTAAGGAATTTAGACTATAGCTCATTTGACGATTCCAAAGGGACTTTGAGGGTCCCTGCTTAGGATCATGTTATAATGGGATAATGGAAAATAAAATGGAAACTACTTTAGTATATTAGGGTTATAATATGGGATAATGGAAAATAAAATGGAAACTACTTTAGTATATTGGGGTTATAATGGGATAATGGAAAATAAAATAGAAACTACTTTAGTATATTGGGGTTATAATATGGGATAATGGAAAATAAAATATGCAGGGGGCTTTGTTGAGAAACTCCCATCAGCCTTGGCGAAAAAGAATGATAGTTCTCCTGGTTCTTCTATAACTTTCACCACGGAAAATATTAAAGTCAGCTGCATTCTGTATGCTCCGGAGGCATGACTACTGACATCAGATCACATGGTTGCTTCCATTCGAGCACTATCAAAAGAACACATCGCCATTCTCTTCAACTTGAAATAGCCTCGCAGGATTAAAAGCGTGAACTACTGGTCCCCATGCAGAGCCTGAATCCCATATGGGAATCCGGGGACACATGCTGTATCAGCTTGTGTACCCTTAAATTAAGTTACCATAATGGGTAATATAGTAAATAATAGGGTTTCCCCAGTATAGAAACATAATTTGAGTTCCTTAACAGCAACCCAGTAATGTGTCGTGTCAAGGGATTCAAAGCATCCACACGGCTGAGAACTGGGGGTTTCCCAAAATTAGGGGTACCATTTTGGGGATCCCAATAATAAGGACTATAATATATTGGGGTCTATATTGGGGTCCCCCCATTGTGGGAAACTACCAACTCCGGCCTTTCCACCACCCCGCTGATTTCGACCTGTCATGAGCTGCCACGGAACGCATTTCCTCTATAGATGTTCTTGTTTTTAGCCATTCATCATCTCAAAGTGATTTCACCGGCTATGCTGATGGTTCCACTGCCGCATAGATCTTGCAAGCGCGCACCTCCTTCATCCATCTTTCTCCTCTTGGCCTTTGGACCGGGGAAAGTTTGGGGGTCGGGTCGCTAAAACGATTGTCACTGTTTGGATTTTGCTATACAATCACGTGCAGCATCCGTCTCACCTCTCAATCTACATTACTAACCCTACTAGGCGTGCAAGTGCTGCAGGCTGGTAGGGTTCGTACTTTGTTTGAAGTTCTATGTGGAAAATTGCCGCCAACACTAGGATGCCATTGCAGTACTATTGTTGTTACGCATATCGTTCGTGGCATTGAGCCCAGGCAGGAAAGAAGCCGCATGCCTTGTCAAACTCGGCTGCCTTTGCCTGCTCGGCCTTCACAGTCCACCAACAAAAAAGGGGTTGCCATCAAGCGGGGTCTTGGGGATGTGCTAGCTGCATGGACGGGTATAGAAAACCTATAATGTTTACAGCGAAGTGTACACCAATCGTCTTTCAAATGTTGCACAAACCCGGGCCGAGATCTTGACCTCCTTTTCTAAGTTAACGAACGAGAAGGGCGTGCACAACCAGACAAAAGGCATCGGCCATTTTGTATCCGCTTGGCCAGAGTGAACGACCAGACATGGGAGCGTGCCTGCTTCAGCTCATCCCATGACAAAGCAGTTGCAAGGCCTAGAAATGGATGATCAACTGTCAAATTTACATCTCCAGGCTGGAAAGGATTCTCTATAGCTTGTAGCATTGAAAGCTTTGATAGTACGTCTGCAAAACATGCAACTGCTCTGACTCAATTCTTCCAGCCCAAAGCACCTTTGGCGCAAGTAGCGAGCTGGGCATGTGCTATGATCTCCTCTAAACTGTCCTCGTGCTTGTCATTTTTGCTTTATATGTTCTGCTCTGATACCACTGATCGTACGTTTGCGGCGACTTCAGTAAACAAACCGCACTTCCTTTAAACTCACCCGCAATTTGACTGAAATTGTCTGCTCCGCAGCTAGGCCTGGCATGAGCGTGACACTGGGCAAAGTGTCATCGTGCGCATCAAAGCATATCAGCCGTAGCCATAGCGGCACAAGTCCAAGTAGCAGCAGGCGTCACAGAAAGGTTGCAGGCGGCGGCGGCGGCAGCGGCGTTGGCGGCGGCGGCGGCGGTGGTGGTTGGTGGTGGTGGCGGTGGTGGTTGGTGGTGGTGGCGGTGGTGGCGGTGGCGGTGGCGGTGGCGGTGGCGGTGGCGGTGGCGGCGGGTGG